AGGCAATGAAAAGTGTGTGTGAGTAGCTGAGCCTAGTAGAGCTGTCCCAGAGTGCACTGTAGAAAGCACTGAATTCCTCCTCAGGTTATTAAGGGTAACCATAAAATTTGCATATTAAAAAAAAGAAAACAGGGAGATGCAGCTTAGCAGCTTTCACATTTAATTGCTTTTGACCAAAGCGTGAAATGAAAGCACTATCTTAAAGCAGCGAGTCAATCTGCTGTGCTGTATTTATGCAATACACTGATGCCGCTCCTAAGCACAAAGAATTGCACCAGAATCCAGGTTCTGTTCAGCCTTCACTGGATGAAGTGAGGACCAGGACTGCAGCGAGGCCCTCAGAGGCAGCACAAAGCCAACGTGCGGGGAGGTGCCTCCGTACACCCCTGCACCCATTGCATTCAGCATGGGTGACTCATTGCAGTCTGCCAGAACTAGCTTTAGATGGAGGTGGCTGTGTAGATTGTCTGAGTCTTTTGCCTCTGTCTTGGTTAGGGGGGGGGGGGGGGTTGCACTGGCACTGCCTCCAAAATGCCTTTTATCCAAAATCCTTTCCCTCGCCTTTAAGATGTACAGCCAGGATGCAAGCAGTGAACAAGAGAGACTCCAAATGCCACAAGGATAATGAAGACCTCCGGTTGGCTGTGATTGCAAGTGCACAGCAGCTTTTACCCCAGCCTTGGACTGGAGAATTCCCCCCTGTCCTCCCACCCAAGTGATAAAGAAGTCTGTGCAGCCACCCTGGCACCAGGCAGGAACTGATAAACGTTTCCCCCCGTCCCTGACGAGCCCAGGAATGTGTCGGCCCGGAGTAATGGTTGTGTCCTTTTGAATTATTGGCAGAGCAGCCTCTGCAGCTTTCAGCTCCTGTCTCAGCCTGTTCCTGGCTGTCTCCGAGGTGCCAGGCCCAGGGCCAGCACCAGCGCCTTTTACAGTTGGATTACACAACGCTCTCTTCAGGTTTTTCTTCTTTTCTGTGCATAGCTAGGCTTTTCCTCCTGCCCACAAGGACTGCTGAGACCCCACAGCAAGGCTAGAAGACAATGCCAGAGCCGAAGCATAAGGCTGATGGCCATTTTCTATATGCTGATCAAATGGCCAAGACCCAAACCGAACCTTTTCCATATGGAGGGAAAGAAAAAGGGCACTGTTTCCTGGAACCAGCCACTGATTCCTGGGGTGCACCTTGCCAAGAGGAAAAGATTTTCTTTTATCTCCCAAGGTGCATGCCAGAGCTCAGCTTGGCTGATTACATTTAACCTATCTCAGTCCTCTGCAGAGATCCAGCAGGGCGCTGAGTCCTTCTGCACTAGCGTGTAGTGTTCAGCTGTGCGTGCACGGCTCTGTGAGCTGCCAGCATGTGTTGTGAGGTAGCTGATGCATTTTACTTCCAGGGTGGTTTCTCTGCTCACAACATCACTAGAAAAGTTTAATTCTTTTGTGTTAATTGGGAAAGCCTCCCCTCTCCATTTGCTGATCTCCTGAGACTCCATCTTCTAGCTGTAGCACATCTTCAAAGTCACTAAACCCATCTCACAGAATCGCAGAACAGTTGAGGTTGGAAGGGACCTCTGGAGATCATCTAGTCCAACCCCCTTGCTCAGCAGGGTCACCGAAAGCCTATTTCCCAGGACCCTATGCAGATGGTTTTTGAATATCTCCAACGATGGAAACTCCACAACCTCTCTGGGCAACCTGTTCCAGTGCTCTGTTACCCTCAAAGTAAAGAAGTTTTTCCTCATATTGAGGTGGAACTCATAGCTTGATAACTGAGGAAATATGGCTGGAAACAGCCATAACAGGTCAGACTGAAGGCCAGTCTAGCTCTGCCTCTTCTCCCTTGCAGAAACTAAAGTGGCTAGGGAAAATGAAAGAATAGGACAAGCATATAGCGATACATCCTCAGAAAGATCTCACTCAATCAGTGATTTGCCCTCAGAGAGCGCAAACAGAATGGTGTCATTTTCCTTTGTAGTACGGAGTGGACTTTTTCTTTTGTGAGCTTCTCCAGACGCTTTTTGTAATTCAGCATCAACGGAGTGCTGTGGAAAGAAGTTGCGCAGTTGAGCTGGGCGCCGTGTGCAGAACTCATCCCTTGCGTTCACTGTGGGCCAGGTGCTGCTTGAATCTTGTCATGTCTTATAGTTCTTGTGTTGAAATAGACAATCCCTATCGTCAGTAGCCAGTTCCTACCCTCAACAGGCCACTCTGGGTTTTATAGACCTCTATCAAATCCATTCCTGGTCTCTTTTCAAAGCTGGAAAGTCTTAGTGTATATAATCATTCCTCATACAGAATACTTGCCACAACTTTTTCGTAGCTGTATACTTGCTACCTTTGTCTTTACCGTTTCTACTATATCCTCTTTGAGAGAGCAAGACTAAGGGTGGGGCTGCACATAATATGCAAGATGCAAGGGCAGAGTGGGGTTACACATTGGCGTAGTGATGTTGTTTGTTTTATTCTATCTTCCTTTCGTAACAATTCCTGATGTTTGATGTCCATTTTATATTGCTACTGAATAATAATCACAACCCTTAGGTCTTGTTCCTTAGTGACAGACCTGATTAGAGGCCATTGTTGTACATATGAACTCATAATTGTTTTTACCTAATTTCTCTTCTCTACGTGGAATTACATCTGCTATCAGTCAGGAGCTTGAAAGGAGCCCTTTATGGGAATGATGATGAGGTTTGCTAATAGCATTCAGTGCGCATGATCCCAACTGGGTGCCTCTTCGCACCATGAAGGAGAGGCTGAAGGTCAGGGCTGTGGTGGTGTCAGGGGACTATTAGAACAGATTGGCTGGAAATAGAACGACCTGATGCTGAAGGTGGCTGTAAATAATGTTATCAAAGAAGGGCTTTCGTTTGAGAGGAGAGATGGGATTATTTATGAACTTCACTCATACGATCGTTTGTTCATCCTTCTATTAAATAATACAGCCGTGGACATTGCTAACTTTAAAACATATGGGTACCATAGCAATTGTGGGAGTAAAGAAAATATTTGTCATTGAAAGTGGCTGCTGTGACTGCGCTTTTTATTCTTTTCCTTTTGGATAACTTTTAACACCATTTCAGTTTTTGCTCTACTTGTGCTTTTGTCTTTATGTGTGCATTCTTGTTGCATCATCTCATGAGAGACAAATGGCCTGTAAAAACACCATAGATAAAGTTTTACTTTAGGAAGCTTCATACTTGTTTCATTAAAACATATATAGAGAATGAAAATGTTTCAGTTCTTAGTAACAGTGGTTCTTTAATAATATCTAAAATAGATAATGGAATAAGTCAACAATTTTATTACCTTTTCTGCCCTATTAATAGTAATCAGCATTGTGCTACATCATGGAATAATGTAAGAATAATACCAACCGCATAAGAAAAGCTCCCTGTTGTGGAGTTTAATGAATACAGCAGCTACAGAATTCAAGTACCAAAGTGTTTTGCATTCTTCTGAACAATAGTTTTCCAAAACTTGTTTTTGTTAATAGTGTTCTTTCCTAGGCATTTTTAAAAGTTATTTTTGTCATTTTGAGTTAAAATAAAAATGATTTCAGAATCTTTACACTTCCTGTTGGAGAGAGGACCAGGTTTACCTGTTTCCTGCATTGGCTGCTATCTGGCCACCCAGCAGCTTCACCTAGAGCCTTCTTCCTGTGGGCAGGTGCAAGGTCGGGGAATGCAGGGGCATCTTCAAACACAGCTGATGTACAGATAAAGGGTGAAAGTTGTGGAAAACCAGAAGTTGCAGTTTTGGTGTTGTGCCAAAAGCCATCCCGGTAGGAATAATGCCTTTCCAATCAGTCTTGCAGAGTGGAGGTAGGATAAATCGCAGACTTACTAAGTCTCTTTGTTAGGAAGGGACAGGAGTATAACCCAATGAGGGTGGATTAGCACATAGCAGGTGACTATCTAGCCTCCCTAAATGGCTGCAGCTATCTCTGCAGCATCCTACAGTAAAAGTACAATCATGATGCTGTAGTCCAGCAAGTGGCTCCATCTCCCCTCCGTCACTACATTTGAGCACTAGCACGATGCTGTGGAGCAACCTGGGCTGCATGTGACCTGCATGTGTGTCTCCTCATCTTCTTCTGAGAGGTCATTTCTCCTCATCTTCCTCAGTGCAACCCACCGTCCTTGCCTCCCCTCTCTATTAGCCTTCACTTTTCCCTTGGCAGGTGGTTCAGGAGAACTTTGTACTGCTGTAATGTGCGGGGAGCCTTTTCTCACTCAGAGTTTGAGCATTTTGTAGGGATAATTAACTGTGAAAAGCATCACACTTGGTGGCAGGGAGAAGCTTAGTGGAACAACTCATTTAAAATCTTTGCATGGAATCCCCTTCACAGATGCACTTAAGAATATACCCGTTTTACAAGGACCATGGTGCTATGCTGGTGGGAAGCGAGGCTAACAGCGGTAGATAGAGCCTCAAAGGCTTGATTTGGAGTAGATGGAAATTCTTTCAATTTCAGAGTTGACGATCCAGCTCTTCAATTAGCATGGGTTTACCATCAAATTAGTTAGTATCTTTTGCTGTAATTTCATAGCCTATAAATAGCTGTGATACACAACAAATATATTCGCATCGATATATAGTCAATGTACCTTTAAAAAGACCTCATCATAGTCTGGATTTCTTTGTGGGACTTTTCTGTAGAAACAGGAAAAAAGAATTGAATTCTCATAGTCATTTCCAATTTTTTCAGCGGAAATGCAAGTAGCAAAAACATCATCTGAAAGCTGAAATATCTAGGCATTCAGTGTTAGAGGCAGCAATGACAAAAAATTATTTTCTTCCTGAAAATAGACAATTTACACACCAAATGCAATTTTCACTGAAACTCCTGTTTTCCTTGCACCAGGAGTTTCATGGGAACAACTGCCTTTAATATAAAGAAGCCTGGGAGGTGAAAAAAAAAAAAAAGATATTTGTTGCAGCGACACTAATCTCTTTCTCTCTTTCTCTTTCTCCCTTCTGCCTCCTTCCTGCTGCAGCAAGAGAAACAGCAGACACCAAACAAGAGACCCTGGGAAGGAATCAGAAAAGTCCAGTCCCCACCGTCATGGGTTAAAAAGGACATGGAACCTGTGGCACAGTCTCCCTTAGAACTAAAAACTGTAGAGTGGGAGAAAACAGGGGCCACCATCCCTCTGGTGGGACAAGACATTATTGACCTTCAGACGGAGGTCTGAGCGGAAAAAGAGAGAAAGGGACTTTTTTTTCCGGAAAGCAAGCAAACAAACAAACAAACACAAATTTAAAAAAAAAAAATGATTAAATTAAGTCGAAACCGAGTGAGAGAAGTGTTTGGTTTCTTTTGAAACCTTTGGTAAAATGCAGTAACTTTTGTATTGTTCTCAGCAGAGAGAGGGAATATTACTTTATAGAATATAGTAGCTGTAGGTTCAGACCAACACGATCTTTCCCAGGTAGGACTGGAGAGGGAGTGAGCCTGGAAAAGAGCGAGGAGGAGGCAGAAGGCGGGGAGGGCTGCCGGGAATCGCCCCATGGAGAGGCTATGGTGGCCCGCGACGGAGGATGCTAGCACGAGGAGCCCTGCTCTGCAGCGGGGAAGTGCAGCACAACGGCCAGAGGGACCGTATGGCAAAAGGGCCACGAAGATGGGTTTTGGCTGCAAGGAGAAGACAAAAGGTGAACCCAGCAGGAGCTTCACTGGGGCGTTCTCCAGCCATAGGTCCCAGGCGAAACGCATCCTTGCCCGGCCCGGGGCGTTCCTTGCACAGCACGGGCTCAAGAGTGTGAGCCAATCTTTGCCCCTCCACTGCAGCTGAGAAGACGGGAAAGGGGATGGGCTGAGCCGCTGGGCACCGCAGCTGAGAAGCATCCTCCTTGCTGCCCAACAGGAGACATCTTGGCACCACCGTATGGGCCAGCTTGCAAGGCGCCCCGGCGATGCGGCAGTGAACAGATGTGACACCCGTGGCCCATCCAAGAGGTAAGGTGGGGCTTCTCCCCTTCGTCGCTCCGCAGCGGGTGTCCCGCATCCCCCGGGGGTGCATGCAGGAGGATGCACCTGCACGCCTCTAACACCTGCTCGCCCCATCTCCAGGGAGGGGGTCGAAGGCGTCACAGAAAAAACAGACCAACAAGAAGAACGTAGGTCATTTCATTGACTGTTAAATAGATAAACTCAGCACGGGCCTTGGCAAAGGTCCATTTGGCCGCATCTTTTTTTTCTGTTATTTTTCCCTTCCTATCGGACTCGAACTTATTCCAAGCTACCCCTCCCTGGAAGCCAGAGAGAAAGAGAAAGAGGGAAAGACACATCTGCTTATGTACCTGGAGATATTTGGTATACAGAGAATATTGCCTTAGGACATTGAGACAAACTGACAACATGAATAACGTCCACTTGGAAACAAAACAAAACAAAAAATAATCTATTTTTTTCCTTCTTCTTTTCTTTTCTTCAATAAAAAGAGAACTTGAAACCCGAGACCTTTCTTTTCTTTGGCTCTTGTCATTTCAAATGCCTTCCCCCGTGCTGTAGGATGGTGCAGGCATGGGGTGAGGATGCCACCTGCTGAAGGTGGGATGCAAGTTGCTCCATGGAAATCTGGGATGGTGGGAACACCTGGCCCCTTTGCCTGTCGCTTGCAAGATTTTACTCTGTTTTATTCAATCTGGGTTTCAGTCACTTTCCCCTCCCTGGTTCCTGCCCTCCCTCCCCTCTGCCCCCAGCCGGCAGGCAGGTGTGTGGTCCTAGCAGAAGGAAAGGAAACAGGTCGAGCTGGTCAGGAAAGTGGGACATCCTTCATAAAAAACATCTTTATTTTGCTGTGAAAAAGAACAAATAAAATCATTAGACGTTTCTCAAGGCTATTTCCAAAAAATAATGATTTTCTACATTTCACTCCACAGAAAGCATTCTGCAATATTTTTATCATTAAAAAAAAAAAAAAGTACCATCACTGACATTCCCCACGTAATTTCTTCTTTTATTCTTTTGTTCGTCATTCCCAACAACGTCTGTCTTGCGTTTGGAAGAATTCCCCCAAATTTGGAAACGTACAGTGCCAAACTTCTGATTGTGTGTGGCCGGACTGTGCCAAACAGCAGAAGAACAGTAATTCTTGATCAGGGTCTGAGTTATAAAGGCGTGTGGGGGTTTTCTTTTTTACAATATTTTTAGGAAAAAGCTCATGATGGATATAAAGAGGCAAAACAATCACTCACCCCAAATGTGCTTCCCCCACAGAAAGGTGTTGCTTGGCAGGCACACATCTCCTTCAACTTTCCTTTGGGCCACCTGGGTTACTTACCTTTAAGATTAATGGCATTTACCTTGCCGTTAACTTTATAGTATGAAAGATTGAAAGAAAAACTTAAAAAAAAAAAAACCCAAATAGTTAAGGAGAACGATTACTTATAAAAACTGTGATATTATTGTCCAATTTTAGATTATTCCATGAAACAGGAAAGCACAAAGGCCTCCCTCAGATGCCGGGTTGTATGATATTGTAATTATTATAATTACACATAATGAATTTTAGCATACAGATATCTTTCTACTGTATTTTAATTCTTTTTTTCCCCCCTCCTCTTCCCTGCCCAACCCAGCCTGCCCTCTTCTTTCAGACCTTTCCCGTTCGCCCATTTATTCCAGCCAACTTGCAGGACATTAACGGTGTTATGTAATTACAGAGATAAATGTTTGTTTAATAACTGTTGATATTCTACTTTTTTTCTGCTCAGCTCCTCTGGTTAATTCTGTTTCCCCTCGCCCTGCCCTGCCCCGCTCCACGCCTTCCCCTCCCTTTTTCTCTCTTGTGTCCGTCAGTTTTTTTCCTGTACAGTTTTCAGAGCACAAATGAATGTGTCTTATTTCTAATAAAAGAGGTGTAAATGCTAGTCACGTCTGCTTTTTAAAAGCGCCCCTTTCCCTGTGCCCCCCGCGCCGCGGTCGGAGCAGCCAGGGCGTTGCGGAGGGGGGTCCCGGGGAGGGCCCGGGGCGACGGACAGGAGCAAGGCTCCATCCACGAGGGTGGTAAGGCTATCACTCGCCAGGAAAAAACCTAAAAATGAGTTGAGCTAGGGATTATTTACTTCCTAGAAGCTTATCCTTGAATGGCTGAAATCCTCCAGCAGGAAAGTGTGTCCTTATCTCCCCAGCTCCGTTCCATCACCTGATCGACAGCTTTGAGGTTCACAGACAGGACTGCAGAAGGCTTAGGGCAATCAAGATCCAGCACCGCT